TAATTCCATCATGTGTTCTTTGGATGCAGTGTTAGGGCCATTGTTCTTCTGAATCTTGACAATTATGCAGGCGGAGGACATCCATGGGGATACCCTACACCTGAGTACCTTGAGAAGGTTTGCACTACTTTTATTAATGAGATTTTTCTAATTGCTGGATTGGTTTATTAGATTATTTAATTATTTCAAAATCCCAAAAGATCAAGCTAGCTTTACCTTTAACTCTATCTGATGTTCTCTTTTTTATTTTAATTAATAATGTGGGCTTGAGTGTGGTCCCAAGTTTCCAATATGGCATTGCAATAGATATGTGAATTACAGTGGCAAATGCAAGGTGCAATGTAATAAGAATAGATGAAAGATATATTGAACTTAGCAATGTTTCATTGCTTAAATATGATGAAGTTGCTCCATGAGGTTTTAAACATGCTTTAAGACTAAAATGGATTGATGATTTTGGTAAAGACAGCTCCAAAAAAAATTTAGACGTTTAGTATATTACTTCCCATGCATGTAGAAATTAAGCTATTCCGGGAAGAACAATTGGAATTTGTCTTATAAATATATCAGTAACTGTAATTCATGCTTGAATTCCTCCAATTCTTTCCTTGTAATATCTTAAAATGAAAAGGTGTTCGACATAATGTTTTATAATATCCTGTCAAGAATTTCTCTCCTTTTTATTTATAGATCTTCAAGCCAAAAATTAAGATATTGGACCTTGTCAGGTATTAGTTGGAGTAATTTGGTGCACTGGTATATATCACAGGTGGCTGTTGGGGGAAATAAAATAAAAATAAGAAAAGTAGTGGTAAAGAAAAATATTTATAGCAAGGACTTCAGTCATTTTAATTCATAGATCTTCAAGCCAATGATTATAATATTGGACTATACCAGTATCAGTTGGAGTAATTTGGTGCACTGGTACAGATCACAGATGGCTGTTGGTGGAATAAAAAGAAAAGTAAGAAAACTAGTGGGAAGTCTTATCCTAGATAATTGGACCAGAAAAACAAGCACATGTGCGATGGCTGAAATTATTTTTCTTGAGCTGTGTGCTGTAAAATTGGCTGAAATGCTGGAGATTTAGCCTGGGAATTGTGGTATGCATACCAAGATGTTATTCATAATTTCACACCAATACATACTGATGGGTTTATAATCCATAGCAGTTTAGGCATAAGTCATGAAGGATGATTAGGGGGGAAACAAAAGAACAAACTTCCCAGGACTATCAGAGATGAGAAAAGAGGTGAGACCAGGTAGGATGAGTGAAAAGGAGAGGAAGATAAAATATTTTACTTGATGAAGGGTTTAGGAATTTTGGTCAATCTAGGCTGCTCAAAGATTTAATTCAGTTAAGATAAAGATTAGTTGGGAAATTTGTGAATGGGGTCATGCTAATTAGATTGTTAGATCATTCCTGCAGTAGTGGCTTATGGCATTTATGGAAAATTGTATGGGTTAATATATGATTTTCATTTGAGGTAGTGTTTACCATAGCATTATAAGCCAAAAGAAAATTTGGATCTGGGAGAATTTTTCAATCTCTTAATTAGGAATTATGCTGGGAACTTTGATATTTTGGTGAAGTCAATGAGGAGCAACGGGTTAAAAATGCAGAAACATTTTGTGTGTGTGGGTGTGGGTGATGTTGCTTCCATCTGAATATCTGATTCCCTTAAAATATGTAACTGTTAGGAGGGTTGTGTTGAACCAAATACAGTTTTAGGTACTGGTCCTTGGTCAAGTCTACTGAACATTGGATGAGACTAGCATTTATGTTGTTGGTAGTAAAAGATGAACATGCACTCTGAGGGATCCCCAAGATGGCTATGCCAACACAATATGTTATTTTTCTTCATAGAGTCAAATAAATCTAATGTTAATAATGCCTTGTATTGATATTATACATTGGACCATAAGTTCTATGCTGATTCATCAATGGAAATAGCCCATTTGGAAGCTCTTAGTTTCTTTGCACAAGTCCTCCTTTTGGATACAAAATGATGTTTTTGGATATGAATATTTAATAATTGTTGGAAAAATTTAACCCTTCATACTGCAAATGAGCTTGACTAACTAGTGGCTAGGGCCTTAGAGAGCAACTATCTGGCCTCCAAATCTGTGTCAATAACTATTTTCTTTTTATTTTTTTTAGTATGCTTTCAGTGCCGGCCTTTGAACTGCAAATGAGCTTGACTAACTAATGACTAGGGCCATAGAGAGCAATTGGCTGGCCTCTAAGTCTGTGCCATCTTCTTGTTAATTTTCTTTTGTAGCCTTTGACTGCCTTAGCTGATCCTGACTTGCATCACATGGGACAAGAATACTGAGCCTGTTGCCATATTTGTATTGGATATTTGCTGGTTATGTTATATGCATGATGCGCGTAGAGTACTTCCGTTTAAGTATTTGAAGTATTATACACTAAAAATAACATATTCTTTTAGGATACACTGTTTTCTGTTGTTTGTAATTAGTATCAAATTGTGATAGGTACTGGGCCTGTACTTCTTTAGTGTTTCTAATTAGTTTTTACCGCTCCGGCAGGAACTGGTACACAGAGCACGATATATCAGCTGGGTTGATATACATGGTACAAACTGGTACCAGGCTGGTTCCCGCCCAGCGTAGGCCCTGTACCAAGCTTACCGATGGTACAGGCAAACTTACCTGGAGATGAGGCTACCCAACTAGCCACTAGGGGGGCCTCTGAGAGCCTGTAATAAGGGTCCCAAAACCCCTCAAATCTGCCCTCACTCTCATTCTCTCAACCCCTCTCTTTTTCCCTCTCATTTTGTTCACTCTCATTCTATCAAATCAATGCTTCATAGGCTGCTTTGGTAGACTTGAATACCCCCTTTGTACTGGCTGTAAATTGATCAATTATTCTGTTCCAACTCCCACTAGAGCTTGCCAATTCCTTTCAAGTTTAATCATCCATGCCTCCAATGTATTTTGATGCTGGGAAGTTGGATAGGTTGGCCCCTGTGTAGGGACTATATTACCCCCAAGTTTTAGCACTACCTGTCTATTGTCAGTCATTTCTGTCCTCACCACTGTGGAGATAACAAGAATTGTTTGAGCCTTGAGACCATGATTTTGGACTTTAAAACTAATGCATGAGCATGAAAGACATCATTTTACTTGTCTACGCTTGATAACGGTATAGGAAGTATTCTTTATAAAAAAGTATTCCATATGTCAGTAAAGAAATTTGTGCTGCTTCAATCATTGACTGCAAATATTCATATTTTAGATTCATTTTTAAACTGGCATAAATATATTAATAAAAAATTGAATGAAAGAGGGGAGAGCGGAGGGGAAAGGGAGTCTTATCTGAACCTTTGACCAACATGTTCTAAAAATTTACAGAAGCCTTGTTCTTGTTGTATCTGAATATTTGCACTGATGTATATTTCTTATGGGAATTCTTACTAATATTTTTACGGTCTACTTTCTCAGAAAAGTTTTTATGAAGCTCATCCGGATGATGGGTTGCTTGAGATATTTGGGTTAAAGCACGCATGGCATGCTTCCTGTGTCATGGCTGAACTTAGTCCAGCCGTGCATATTGCTCAGGTACCATTGTTATATTTGAACTTGACCTCATTGATAAGTTCTATTTGAACCCAAATCTGTTGGTATGGAATATTTTCTTTTCCGAGTGAAATCCCCTAGTATACATATGAAAGGATGAAACTCATGATGCACACGTTGCCACTTGCTAGTCCATCATCTAATTCGATAGGGAGCTTCTCTTCGAAGAAATTAACATGGAAAATTTTGATCTCAGAAAACAGCATGATCCAGATGACACAAGTCATTAGTATATAAAACAAGATAGTGAAACCTCTTAGCTATAACAGGTGCATAAAATATTTTTGTATTTAGTTATCTATCCTTTAACCAATGTGCTAAAAATATATGATGCGATGAAAGCAAATTGCTATCTTGTTTAGTTTAGTCGCACCATGTAGCTTAGAGGGCACAGAGATGAGAATGTTAAAGGAAACACATAGCAAACTGGAGTAGCCTATCAGTTTCCTCCCAGGTCAATTTGTTTTTGTGGGCCTATCAAACTTTCTTGGGATCGAGGTGCAGATTATGTTCTTGTACTTCCAGTCTCTTCCTTGAACAGCTGGGTTCATACACTCTTTCATACTCTTGGACTTATATTGATCGTGAAAATGAAGCATAGAATTTTGTCAGCTGGCTTATTTCAACAACATCATGTGCTGCTCTCTCTCTCTCTCTCTCTCTCTCTTCTCTTTTAATTAGACAATGAAGATGAACTTGCATTGTTAGGATTCTAGCCATCAAATTAGCGAAAATTAAACTCAAGTCAATTGCTGCTTGCAGGCTGCTGCAGTAAAGTTGAGACTCGAAGATGGTGACTCGAAGGAAGCTTATATGCAAATGGATGGAGAGCCATGGAAACAACCAATAAGTAAAGAGTACCCAACCTTTGTGATAATTGAGAGCACTCCTTTTCAGTCACGCATAATAAGTGGAAAATGATGCCGATGAGCATATCCTGTGAAGCCCATAAGTTCCAATGGTGTGCCTTCCATAATTTTCTTTCCAATGCTCGTTATCAATATTTTCTAAAAAAAAAAAAAAGAAAAAAAGTATCTGATTGCTTAAATTAATTCATGTTAATAATGCAAATGATGATGATGTGTGCGAACTCTCGATTTCAGCCTTCAAATGATTTCTTTTCACTTCAAGCAAACACAAACAATGGCTTCAATATGTCCATATCTCCCCATTATTTATTTATGTTAACTGCCAAAAACCAACCATTTTCATTTCATGCACCCTTCTTGTTAGTTACCAGAGGTTAGTCACATACATCACATGGTGGAATGAGCATGCTTAAAATGAGTGTAATAATTATTCTACTTGTCGCTCGTAGAATGAGGCAGGAATACAAGATAAAGAAACCAAAGATCACCCTACGAGATCAATCTCATTTAGTGTTTTTATGCATCACATAGATAGACAAAAAATCAATTCAAAAAGCAAAGCAAGAACAAGATTGTGGTTTCTTCATCGGCATGTTAAGCATTGGCCGATATACACGAATGACATTCCTTATGTTAAGCATCGACTGATACACAGAATGACATTCCTTATTTATCGACATCTCGTCAACAAAATTGCTTATCGAGGCTTAAGACATCATCCACGTGTGGATTAAACAGTAGCATGACTACAAAAATTTATTTACATAAATTTCATATCATATCCACCCCAAAGGGCCACACGAAATGACACACCCTCAACTAGGGAGGTGGGTAAAGGTTGTCCGCTGCTCGATACGATGGGAACCTGCAAAGAAAACTATACATCCTAAGAAGCACCCTTTGCAAAAAAGTTGATACATGGTGATAATTATGAGTGTGCAGGCAAAATTTTGCTTACATTTTTGACAAGCTTCATGTCCTTGGTTTGAGAGAGATCGCTGTACACTATGATATGAAGGTATAGTTTGAGGGATTATAGCCCGAGGATCCATCCTCCAAGAACCTGTATGTTTCATGGTACAAGCACTTCAGAATGTAGTGCGTATGTTTTCATTTTATTTATCGACAAGAAAGGGATGAAGTTGTAGAGAAAGAAGAATTAAACTTTACTCCAGTTGAAATGTCGCATCATTTCAAATTTATCGCTGCAGCCATTTTTCTCAACTTCTGCGATATCTCAGAGAACGATGGCCTCAATGCCGGATCAGAAGACCAACAACTCTCCATCAAGGACTTCCATTCAGGATCACACCAGGAAGGAATTTTAGGTCGTATGGAGTTGTTCACAATGCCCCCTGGAAAGAACAAAACAATCAAAACATATCTTAGGTGTGACCCTTAGCTCCTAAGTGAATAGAAAATGTCACAAACAGATAAACACAAAAATGAGCAATTTATATGCTGCAACTCATAATATGTGCACCTGAAATTAATCTTCACTCAGAGTTGACCTTTGAAAGCTTCCCAAAATGTTTACATTTGCGTCACTCATGCTCTGGACCCACTTAAAATAATTTCATGCCTTGGATGATTACTTGACACATGAAGTCTCTCTCATTTAGGTCATTTGCTACTTGAACACTTTAATTTTCACTTGTTTTTCTCACATTAAGTCTCTCTCTTTCTGACTCTCTTCCAACTCTTGACTCCTCTCCACCATGTAGTTGTTTCTTCTTCTTGCACCCTGCCACACTGTCCATCAATTCCTCATCCAGGTCATTGCCTCCACCTACCAATATGCCTCATTGCTGCTTCGTCATCTTCCTCCTTTTTTTTGGTCTACCCCTCCCCTCTTATCTTCCTCTTTCTCTCCAGTATGAACACTGTTGACCCTGAGTGTCAATACATTGATCCATATCTGGTTACTGATTGGTTGTGACACGAGATCTTAAATGTTTATCCTAACATTACTTCTCTAATCCTCAGGTAACTCTAGATTGAAGACAGTATTCAGTTCACAACCACATGCGACACTAAACATTACATTAATTGGTTGTGTTTGAAGGATCTTAAGTCAAAACAAGCAACGACAGATATCAAGTTAAATGACAAAGAAATATAACCATAGTCAATTATAGTCATCATCAAGGTTCACCGTACCGTATCATACCGGCATTTCAATCCGGGCTCGATACGGTATGGTACCGGTGTACCGAACAATTTTATACTTTTTTATACTGTGGCAATGCTACAGTATAATACTGTAGTACTATAGTGGTACCGGGCGGTCCGCGTACCGGTAACCTATCGGACCGGTACGTACCGCCCGGTACGGGCGGTATGCTTCGGTATGACAGACCTTGGTCATCATTGTATAAACAATTAGGACTGAACTTTGTAAACCATATATATAGAGAGAGAATACAAAGATGTGCAAGGAGACACAAAAAGAACACTTTCAAAGAATTATGCATGACAAAGCAATTCATCTCTATAAATATTGTAAACTGTAAATTGACAATGAATGTACTTCATGAATTTGCAAACTTACAGGCATACCAGAAAACATGGAAGACAACAAGCGAAAGAATTTTAATATTTCGAATTCAGAGTAAAACTAATCACTTGCTTATGACAAACACTGTAAAATTAGTACAGAAATTTGGTAAGATGTAAAAATGATGTGCTATCATACCCCAAACAAGCAACGCAACATTTAACTTGAACAAGCAACAGAAAAGCTCAAGCTTTAATTTCATCTGTGGGGATCACTAGATGAAATGTTTTCCTACTTTAAGTTTGTTGAGGACAAGGTTTCAGATACTGTTTGGACCAATATGTACCAATCGGCATTTATTGATATAATCAAGGACCATCACCAAACCATATAACTATCTGCCGATGTTCATTTAATACTTTTCTTAGTGATACCAAGCGGTATAGGTTCATCTATCACCTGGTATAACAATACCATACTGGTCCAACAATGTGTTTAAATTGGTACCAGACCGAGGCTTCAAACCTTGGTTAAGGGCCCTATCACTCGTCGACCATCAAATATATCTCTAATTATTTAGTAAGATTTTCCCTGTCACTAGATGCACCTATGATCTATGCAGTGATCTCTGATGCTTTCTATACATCCCCCTCGCAATGCAAAGCATGCTAAATATTTAACAAAACCACACGTAATTTCTGCAGTGAACAAAGGTTCTACTTATATAGAGAGAAACAACACCACACCAACTAAAACTCAGACAAACTCAATTTGAGCATGTTTTACAACTTCGATTATTTTATCATGGACTTCAAATTTGGCTGCATGACTGGCTGATTTGAATTGGGATTATTCCCACCTGGTCAGAGAAATAATCCCCGTTTCTTGGATAAAATCATAAATTGAGCATAATTAAAATTGATCATTATCGGTCCTAATCCATCGAGATCAGTGAATTACAGGGGAAAAAAAAAGATAGTTGATTCCAGTGATGCAAGTTCAAATCTGACAATCTTATCATCCAACATGGTGGGGTGCCAACATTATCAAACGCAGAAATGAGAAATAAAAAAAATTAAGCAAAAGAGAAAAAAAGTAGAAAAGAATAGAAAGTTGATGATCAAATGAGAACGGAAAAATAGAGACCCGGTGGAGAGGAGCAAAGAAGAGATTAGTTAATTTGGTCTTTATATCAATTGATTGATTATCCTATCATGCCTGTCACGTGTGCTCACTGAGAACTTGACACTCACTCGCTGTCCATTCATCATCTGTTCTCTCCTGTCATTGCCTGTTGCCTCCTGTCTAGCATGACCCTTGGCTCCTGTTCTTAAATGATTCTAATCCAATGGACGGAATCCAATGGATCCCAATTGTATCATCACTGACAATCTCAATCTCAATACCGATCCTGATTCGGCTTCTGTGACCCATGGATTTAATATACTAAATATTAAACATGTTCTCTATAACTTTTAGCACATTTGGTAGCTCACCAAACTTTAGATGCACCAGAGCATCATCCAAGGAGGAATTTTAAATGAGATCATATTTTATCTGCCGACAAAGTTATTAACCATATCTGACACTATAAAAACCAAGTTTCGTGGAGAAGCATAAACATGATTCAGACTCTAAATTCATATATTCAATATAGTCATACAATCAGGGGATGTTGTTCAGTATTATTAATCTCATGAAATGAGTCTTTGGTCATACTCCTTTCTGAAGTTGGCCTCCAACTAACATAGCAAGAGATTTATGATGCTCATGTGATTAATAAACAAAACTACCCTTACCAAGGTTTTAAATCTCAATCCAGGACCAGTTTCGGATATCTATTGGACTGGTAAGTACCAGTTCATCAAGCAGTATTCTGACCCTACCTCCAGATATGAACCGAAGAAAATATTAAAAAATTAAATGCCAACCAATACTGGTCCTTCAATGAACCGGTAAATAATAGTCTATCTGCACCATACAAGTTGGTATTTGAAACCGTGACCCGTCAATCAAATATTTAAACATGTCTCGTAATCTTGTTTACCTAAAATGCAAAAACATGTAAATAAGAATGACAACCTTACCCAACCAATATGAACTCATTACAATTCTTAATAACCACTATTGTGACCAAATAACAACTATGATGAAAAAAATTATGATGTTGCTGTAAAATATAATAAATTAAATGCTAAAAGTAGTACCTATGATCGAAGCACAACGCATGTCAGCATAAGGCTCTTCCCCGGTAAGCAGCTCCCACATCACAATTCCAAATGAGTAAACGTCAATCTACCACATATGAACCAAAAAAATTTTAGTCACAGGAGGGATGAGAAAACAATTGCTTTACTAGACTTGTATAAGAAATCTTACCTTTTCAGACACCATATTACTTTTTCCACTCAAAAGTTCCGGTGCCATCCATGGTAAAGTTCCCCGAAGACCACCTGACACCAATGTATGCTGCTTTACTTTTGATAAACCAAGATCTCCAATCTGACAGTACAGAAATGATTAGTACTAGTCACATGATTATAAATCAGAACGTGATCTTATTAGAAAAATTGTAGCGACTAGTAGTTAAATTAGCTAAAACTCAAGCAGCAACCAATGTGATGGCACCTGTTATATACAAGACCTTACTTGAAGACAACCTAGGTGATCAAGACAGACTAAGGGGTGCATCATACAAACAATTTGCCCCTTTTAATTGAGTTACATCACACATTTATAACTTAGCCTGCCAAAAAGATTCCTTAAGTAGAAGATAGAAGAACCCAGATTCCAAATGAACAAATTTAAACTTGAAAAAAAGGATCTTTTTGATTCTCGCAAAATAAGGGGCAAGGGGACTTATTGAGAAAGGTTTCTTACCTTACAAATAGGACGATGTGGATCTCGCATGTTAACTAATAAATTCTCACACTTGAGATCAAAATGAACTATGTTCTTTCCATGCAAATACTCCATCCCAAATGCAACGTCCATGGCTATTATTAGTCTTTTACGGCGGTCAATGGTTCTGTTCAACAGAAAATGCTTGAGATCAGAAGCTTCTCATGATTTCTGTCTAAAGTTTGCAGTTCACATGACAATTTGGAACTTATTGGAACAATTGATACAAAATTATACCTGTCCTTCTTTTGCAGAAATTGTTTAAGAGATCCATTGACCATAAATTCTGTTACCGTTGCTAAACTGCCACCAGGGCCATCACGAACTACACCATAAAAAGAAACAACGTTGGGATGATGTAAGCAACTCATTATTAGAGCCTCTTTCCAGAAATCTGCTATCTGCAAAAGCAATAATAGGATTCAATCAGATTCACCAACTGCATATACATTTGCAGAAAATTCCATAAGAAATTAGGCCTGTAGATTCTTCACCTTCAAAGCAAAAGCAAAAAAGGAGGCTTCTACAGATTTTGGTAAAAGCTTAAAACATTGACTAAAACATGGATAAACATGAATGTCCGAGAGACCGGCACAAAGATTACAGTGAATGCAGCATAGAACACATATCATTCCTTTTCTAAATTGGATACCATATGGCAAAGACAATGTGGAAAGAGATTCATTTCTTATTCAAGTTGCACAGAAAATGGTCAGTCATGGCAAGAATTTAGAGACCAAATGAAAATGAGGTAGTCCTTGTATCAATTGAATGATATAGTCTTAAATAAATTAGTAGAAATGACTTGGAGAAATAAGGCATCAAAATCTCTCTTCATGCTTATGTGGCTTTAGCAAAAGCATAATAAGTAAAAAAACATGATGAGACAAATGGGTCCTATCTGAATGAAGACTTCATGATGTCGTCTAGATCTTTTACTACATAGAGTCAATTTTCAAATACGTGCTTACATAGCATAGACTAAACACAAAATGACAGCTTTTATTTGGCAATAGAAATCGGTTCATCTGAGACAAGGGTTAGGAAGATCATCCATCTGGTAGTGGGATTGTGGCAGGACATGACTTGGATAATAAATGCCATGTATATGCACCAATGATCCTGCTTTAATTCACCAGAAATCCAATTATGCTCAGTTTCTGCAATCTCTTCAACAGTAAAACATCCTAGAAGTTGTTCTTGCCATTGTAGGTGTTCCCTCTAGGATTGCATAAAATTTTGTAGCCATGTTGCATGCAGAAATTTTCACCACGGAATTGTGGTATTTAAATCGGCTAAAAAGACGTAGCAAAAGCCCAGCATGGATGATTTGATACCAATTGATGCAGCATGCAATGAATAACTTATCTAATTCACATAAAGAGACATATAGAGCTCTCCAGACTCAAAATGCTACTGACTAAAATCTTTCCTAAACCATGCTATCAAGAATTAAAATACTTAACACCAATATAATTAAAAATGACTATCAACATTGTCAAAAATGACTGAATGATTACCAGGTATCACAAAAAAAGGGAAAGAAAAAAAAGAAAACTAAATCAAGACTCTATGAGGGTGACCATTGGTGCCAAGCTAAGCTTACTCCTTTGAACTAGATAACTAAGGTTTGATTCATGAAAATAGCCTATTTGAATGGTAAGATTGTTTACATTGACCCTCCCTAGATTTTAAATTGGATGGAACCTTGTCTGCTTGGATACCTAGATCATGATTCAAAAGAATGAGACTATACACAATTTATTTAAATTCTAGACCCAAACTACAATCTGGTTACCTAACATCTATACAATTGAAATGGTCTAAAAATCAGGCTTGTTATTTAATAATTGTTGTTGTCGATCCTAATGATGCATATCAAGTCAAAACTCAAGCTGTGAGTTCAAGATATTTGATTCAGTTGACAATCTATTTGTTGATTCAAAGGGTCCTTTTTATTGCTAAAATAAAACATTTGTGTAGCATTTGATATGAAACTATGTTTCTACTGGTTTCATGCATTTATCTCTCATCAAAATATATTCACTAAGTCAATATAACCATATACTACTCACTGGAACGAGATCATACCATTCCGGTTTAACTTCTTTAAACAGCAGAGCTATGCCAAGCTTTCATGATACAGTGATTTGTGAGTGATTTACCCATAATTTTTTAATTCACACCTTAGTTAAATCAACAGCAACAATAGGCAAACCCACAAAGTTTCTATCAATAGAACATTTCCAAGAGCAATTAAGCACTGGATCCACCATCAATAGAAGTGGGGTGATATTTGCTAAAAAGGCATAGTTACATTTACAATCAGTTGATTGGATGGAGGGAAAACCTAAAAATACTGTTAAAATACAACATAAAAAGGGATGAAAATCTTTTCTGTAATGGCAGATCTCTTATATTCGGTATGGATATTGCTCACGCAAGACCTATATAACCAACAAATATAATAAAATTTTGATGTAAAAGAGTAGAAACTACCAGGCGTTCTCTCTCGGATGGCCTCCCTGCAAAACAACTAGCTTTTATTCTTTTTATAGCCACATCAGAACCTCTCCATTTGCCATAGTAGACAGAACCAAATGTGCCGGAACCGAGCTCCCTAATTTCTTCCAGATCATCATTTTTTATTGTCTGAAGAAAGATTTTAGGCTCAAGTAAAGATGTGAAGAAATTCGGCAGGATAAGGCAAGAAGAAAATTTCTAACTAAAAGACACCTGCAACCCTTTTGCCAAAGCTTCAGCTTCAGCTGTTGTGGGCTCAATTTTACAAAGTTTATCATGTTCGCTATTTCCTTCCGGGTCAAGTTGAACATCTGAATTCTGCAAATAGAAGAATATATCAATAAGAACAAGATATGAAGAAATTTAACAGATTAAGGCAAAAATAAGCATGTTAACTAAAGGGCACCTGTAACCCTTTCGTTAGAGCTTCTGTTTCATCTGTCCTGGGGTCAGTTTTACAAATTTGTTCATGTTCATCAATTGCTTTGGAGTCAGGTTGAACATCGGCATAGGCATTCTGCAAGTACAAGCAAAGAGCAACAAGTCTAACCAACCAACTTTGAGAATGAAGCAGTCACAAAATGTTCAAAACCAAAGTCACCTCATGTTCACATAATGATTCTTTCTCAACGAGAGGAGAATAAATATCTAAACAAGAATTTGATTGGACCTTGGCTACAGCCTCCTCAGCACCTTCTAATACTGCTTTCTTTACAGAAGCAATCAACTCAGGTAAGAAATTCAAGTTCTCCTCAGACATATTGCGATCTCTATGAGAAACATTAATGTCAGCATCAACAGATTTCCTTGGGTGCCCTTCCACTTCAGAAAGCTGCGGTCCATTTTTAGCAAATTCTAGATTTTGTCTACGTGTAGGAGAAAGGATTCTGTGTTCATCAGGTTTCTTTGAAACCTCATGCCTTATTTTCTGCCCATCAATGGTCAAATTTATCTCTGCTGCAACTTGCAACTGGACACTTCGGTTAGAAGCCATTACGGGGGGATGGTTGATCGCGAAAGCAGAAGAAACAATCAGTTCTTTCTCAACGGGGTATGGAGGTGTGTGCACAAGAGGTACCGCTTCAGTAGGAACTTTACCATTAATTTCACCAGGATAATCATGTGCAATTGAGAACATACCATCCTGACCAGTGACATTAGGATTTTGTCTAGGACCATAGCGATTAAGATAATCTGAGGCAGCAGATTCATCGAGGCCAAGCATCCTCTGTGGAATACTATTGTTCTGGCTTGACAGGGCATTTGGAATTTGGTCCTCAACCCGAACATATGGCAACGTTGGACTTCCCTCCTGCATATATCTTATAAAACCTGAATCAGGCGCACCATTTGGCATCATCATGTTGGAGGGTTCATATGATGTTCCAGGATGAGAAGGAGCCTGTCTGTTTCTCCATAAAGATTGAATCGGATGCAAATTGTTTGAGGCTTGGCAAGGACTCTCTACTCCATATGCCAAAGGCTGATTATGATATTGAACTTCAGTGTCTTCAAATCCAGGTGCATTTGTGCCGGTACCACCTCCAACTGTCTGTTGAGAAAGCAATGCTTCATTTCCAATATTAGTACCATGTCGAAGATAATCCCCATTGTCATGACCAATGCAATTAGAAGGGAATGAATGGACATCATTAACATTTCCATGAGAAAATGGAACATTCATCATAGTGCCATCAATGATGTAGTGCTCATTCACCCTCCCAGTTCCGCTGTGATGGATCCGCAAATCTTCAAGTCTCTGAGGAAACTGATGGTTGTGTATCGCCCGTCCCTGGTCATACTCATTATAGAAAGGATGGTGAGGCTCATTCTGTTCTTTGACACAGATACCATGGTCTATCTTCATGTCTTGGTTTACCATGCATGGATCCCTGCCACCAAAACACTCAGCTGATGAATTTGGAAATTGCCCCACATATTCATTCATCATGTTTGGTTGCTCCATGTATGGCTGTCCATGCTTCCAGCGTGTGTCAACGAAACGTGCATCTGATACAGTCGTGTGGCTTCTCTGGAAAGTCATATGGCAATGCTCACAGATCCTATTGCTCTCAATCATATTTTGCGCATGGGCCAAATTAGTTGGAAATCCAGAGTTTTCCTGAATAATGGCCCCTGCAGGAAGCCACATCACATTTTCCATAGTTGGTGGAGACTGATGGTCAAACTGACATAGTTGGTGTCCCCCTGCCTGCCTAAGATACTCATCCGCAATCCTATCACTTAACTCCCCAGCCCCAAGGTGAAATATTGCCGACGACGGTGAAGATGGGAATTCCTGTGGATCATTGACAGCATGCGGTCCTGGGGAGAAAAAAGCAGGGCTATAAGGAGCATCCATTTCACCATACCTTTGCACGTGAGATGGGTGAGGGATTGCAATGTGATGCAAATTAAGTTGACCGTGGAGGATTCCCCCGTCGATGCCTGGATGCCCCAAGTAATGGTCGGAGGTATCAGGGGGAGACGGGGACTTGTTGTCGGAGAGGCTGTTGAGGGCATCGATGTACCTCCGCTCAGTCTCCCGCTCATCATTATCGAAGTGAGTAGTGGCACCAGCCACATCAAGATCCGGATAGTGAGAGAAGAGGAAGATCCTCAGTCGCATGACGCCATCACCCGTGGCGCTGAGCTTGTCATACTCCTCCATCATGTTCATCACGTCATCGTCGTTCACGACCGAAACCAAGGCGTCGAGGTCCTCTTCAGGCTGCTGGTACTTGATGATGGATACCGCATCGAAGAGCTCCCGGATCCGAGCCAAGAGGTCCTCGTACGAGACGTCGCGAGGAACGGTCAAAATTCGGTTCTCTCCGCCGACGTAGCGGAGCCGCCCGTCGAGCGGGCGGGGAAGGATGCTCCCGCCGAAGCTGCATAGTAACTTGACACGAGGGGAAGAATCATCCGCCGCCGCGACGGCGGTAGCGCCGAGTTCCATCTCCGGCGACGACTGAATGCGCCGGATTAAGATTGCGATAATCGTCAGGCGTCTGCCCTAGTGCCCGGTCTTCCGAAATAATGGATTCACACCTATTAATAAACCTTATTTGATCATAATAAGAATTTTTATTGGAATTTAATAAGAAATCCACTAAAATCTCAGAATTTCACCCCACAAAAGATCGGAAATCGGTATTAAAATTCTCCTCTCGAAAACAGGAAATAAAAATCAAGAAGAGAAGAAGGTAAAACCATCGTGAGATCATATCTTTACCTTTTGGTGAAAATTCCCGATCAAAAATCGAACGCGGTTTCCTCTCTCGATCTAATCTTCCTCCTCGAATCTATTTTCTTTCTTTCAGGCAGAGAGATGAGGTGCGAGAGAAATCGTAGAAATTTTCGAGGAAAAGAAGGGGAGGACGACGAACGGGGGTTACGCGAACGAACCGCGTCGCTCCCGTCTCTGTCGCCTGCGGATGCTGCTGCGGCGGCCACCCTTGATGCCGAGGAACGCCGCGTGGCGCTTTGCGATGAGTCCGACAGGAGGGCGATCTCCCGCTCCTCCGCTCTCGCTATCTCCTCTCGCCCCGCCCGAGGACGATCGAGAGGCGCTCGCCTCGCCAATAAATGCCGTCATATGAAGCGGAGGGGGCTCCTCGCAGAGATCACGCGGGGCGGGGCCCGCCCGGTGGGGACGACGTCGCGCGCGACGTGGGCCATATCTATGCGGCGCTCATGCACCGTCCGTACCGACGTCACGTAGAGTCGTCCATCAGGTGCCACGCCATCAACGTAATTAATGATCACTGACGTACGATCGAAGCGTATATGTAGCGTGTGCGCTTGCATTTGTATCTGAGATACCACCGTCTGCATTCCGTTATGTGTAGATCATTCCGTTTGTTTTTTTCAGGTTGTTGATCTGATTTTATTTTATTTTATTTATTTAAAAAAATATCGTACTATCCTTCTTTAACGTTAGAGCGTATAATAATTATATGATATCGTTTGAGCGCATATTTACCTCTCTAAAATTTAATATACTATATAAGGAGCATATTTAACTCCAGTCAGCATGGATTAGGTGCAAGATAAATGATTATATTATTATCTCTATCGCTTATATGGATAAAAGGACAAAAAAATTATTGAAGGAGATTATAGGTTATTTCCTTATAGAATATTCTATAAAATATGGTATTTTGGGAGTTCGATATTTTCATCTTGAAAATATATCATATAATCTTATGTTTATGAGTTCAGATCATACCGAATTGATTAGCTCGATATTTCTAAATATCTTTTTTAGTAAGTTAAAATTGAATTATGCACTATCGGTATGATTCCAAGTGAGTTTAAAATATTTTTTATTATGTTCATCGATTATTTTTATATATTTACATTCAGGAGGATCTGTCGAACTTTTGACTCTCCATTGACCATTTTGACAGGCCAAATACCAGCATTAAAGTTTGATTCATCGACAATTAAGCCATTAGAGGACAATACACATTATTGGAGGTCAACGTTGAAGATTGACATGTGGAGGTCAACCCCAAACATTATACAATAGGGAGATCCACCACCCATCCTAAATCGAAATCGAAGACCATGACACTTGCATCAAACAATTCAAAGAATGTTTGGTGGTCATCATCATCATCATCATCAATAATTATTAAACTATTAAATAAACAGTTAAATATGTATAATTTTAAATGTTTGGTCAATGAAAAGACCTCAAATTTGGACAAAGTTCAAAATTGTTGGAAATTAGTGGTTAAAAGAGAAAGGATCCAAAATTAAAGATGACTTCCAAACTCCTTTTAAATAATCGAAAAGAAATAAAAAAAGGAATATTATTAAAAGGTGAAACTTAATGAAAATAAATTCACGCCTAGTGGGACTCGAACCCACAATCGTCTGATTAGAAGTCAGACGCCTTATCCATTAGGCCACAGGCGCTTATATATTTTGTTCTCCTTATATATATATATAATATAAATAAATGTTGACTATTAGTACAAACCCACAAAGGTAGGAAGCTAATTGAAATTAGACTTGATATCAAGGAAGGCTTACATCCCAATCAGCATAAGTCCAATATATACCATCTGACTTATTCGTAATGATCAGTCAAATTTTTACTCAATTTTTTTTTACTCTCTTTATTAGTATAATTCATCATCTTCAGCATGTATACCATATTGAAATTTTAGCTATATGTACCAAGTAAATTTGATTTTAATATTATAACAAATAAACCACTAAAAATAGGCTTGATCAAATATCACATATTTTTAGATTTATCCAGATGAGATATTGGAAGTCTCATAGGAGGGTAGTGAGACTTGCACCATGCTTCTCATCTTCTCTGATATATATGAATAGTTCTTTCTAGTAGCAGAGCAAATGGTCTTCCCAGGAATGTTGTTTGAGAATAATAATTCAAGACAAATGATTCTGTTTAGCTGAACTCAGTACTGCCTTGACATAGCAGCTTAGGTTGCTTTTGGTTAATCCTTTTTATCCACAGAGTTTACTGTGCTTCTGTAGTCAATCTCTTCTTCAACTTGTAGTTGGTAAGATTGGATATGGCAATCCAAATCTGTGGGCATGTCTTGGATGTACAGAGACATGATGCAGGAAAGTTCAGAGATGCTTGTCATCCACATTTCACACACAGCATCAAAACCAGAGGATTCACCAGTAGGAACAATGTTTCACTTGCTCTTTTGTTGATTGGCAGGCTTTTTATGCAGTCTATGGTGTTTCTCTTTCAGCACAAGTACTGAACACTTGGAAAAAAAAAAAAGACAAGCACAAAAGGAGATGGTTTTAAATTTGAAATCATGCATCTAAATTATTTAATTTATAAAAAATAGATTTAAGATTAATTATGATTTTATAATATATTATATTTCTAAAAATATTAAAATCTAATTTAATAAGAAGGGTCAAATTGAGCTATGACCTTAGTTAAGTTGATTGGCCAAACCAGCCTATGTGGTCCAGTACAACTCGTGGTTAAGTATAACCCATGGTCAAGTACAACTCATGCGGTTAAGTATAACTTATCTCATGTGACTAGGTATGATCCAGCTTATGTAGTTAAATATAATTCAATCCATGTGATCAGATATGGTCTAGCCCATATTATCACAGATAAATATATATAAAAAGTATTCGATGTAATGTTTGTATATATCCATGTCCTTTAATTTTGTTTATGCATTACATAGCATATGGGAGTTTATAGTTGTTGAGGCAAAATTTTCTAAAATAAGTCATACAGGCAGAGGGTTTTCTAGATCCATAGAGTAGTACAGAGTGTTAGCTAATACAACATTTTGGAGCTACTCGAGTGACATATGATTAGATATACCTCTGGGATAGTATCTAGAGTGGTTTCATTGTCTTGTTTCACAGTAATATCATGCAGGCATTTGTGAGGACTTTAATCATGATAAGCCACCTTGGACTTTTTGTCATATAATTGTTAGCTTGCGAAGTCTATACTCATTTCCCAAGTCGTGCAGCACCCTTACGTGTTTGTCCGTAAAGGGTAAGCCTTCCTGAAACCTCTTATAATCATTTAAGAACCTATAAAAGAGAAGACAGGTTAAAAGAAATATTTAACTCGAGATCTCACAAGTACTCTTTAAGAATATACTATAGTGTTATCATTCGAGTTACCACAAAGAAAACTATACACAATGGAGGTTATACTTAGGACATGGGCCTAGGATCTAAATAATTATGCATCAATTTTAGCGAGGTTGATAAACTTCAAAAGCTGCTAGGCAAAGGAATGTCCTAAAGCTATGCTTCGTCTATATATGGTTTGAGGGTAGGTTGACGAAAGTCGATTGCCAAAGTAGTGAACACAATCGGAGGTAGCGAAGACTTTGTAATGTGTTAGCAGAGGCCACATATGAAGATATCACGGTCCGAATTCATCTCATAAAAATCAAAATATAATAGAGATATGGCGATATAGTGTAGCAGATCATGGTGAAATAATTCGAGATAATACGACACATATGAGGGAGGTCCCTTGAGAGATTTGATTGTACAAAGGCACGATCGGGAGTTACTAGGAATTCTACTTTAGTGAGCAACATGATGACAAGAAAGACTATAGATTTAAGAAGTGAATGTCATGATACCTTGAAAAAAATGTCTTCTATATATGATTATGAGTTATTGTGAGCTCCATTTCGGTGAGTAACATAACCCTAAACCAGAGTAAATCATTGACGAGTTGAAGTAGCGTTGGTAGATCAAAATTCAACTACTTAGTAACTACAGTGGAGAGCAACTGGGAGCTAAGAGCCGCAATTACAATTGGAACAGAAGATTGAAGATTCAGTAAAGGTAAATAGATGTAGTGTCCACAAAGGCTTCAATAAGGACGTGAAAGGAAGAAGTGAGAGAGAATGTTATAGATAAATTTATATAAAAAGTGTTTGATATAATTTTTGTATATGTTAGTGTCTTTCGATTTTGTTTATACTTTGCACATTATGGAAAGAGTTTGCAGTATACTTAATAGCCTCATTTTGGTTGGTTTTAAAAATCTTATTAGTCTTATATATGCAAAGACAAGATAACCTAAAAACATACTATATAGGCAATCATTTTAGGGGTTTTCTAGGTTCATAGAGTAATGCATAGTGTCAGTCGAAACAACACATTGGAGTTACCTGAGTGGTATATGATTGAATGGGCCTTTAGGGTAGTGTCTAGGTTGGTTCGCTACCTTGCTCCACAGTAATATTATGTGGGCATTTATAGGGACTTTTGATTGTGACATATTACTTTGGACTCTTTATTACGTGATTATTCAGAGTTTACAAAGTCTATATTTATAATTTATATTATCTATTAAGTGTTTGTTGAAGTGTCTACTTGTGAGATTTTGAGTTAAACATTTTCTCTAATCTGTCTTATTTTTTATAAATCCTTAAGGAAATATAAGAGGTTTTATGGAGGTTGATTATTTAGGAAAAACTTTACTTAGGAAAAACTAACTAAGTCCATGATAATGTGATCAGGCATAACCAAGGCTATGTGGTTAGGCATGAGTTAGCATATATGGTCTGGTATAACTTAGCATAAATAGTTAGGTATTGCCCAACCCATATGGTTAGGAATGATATAGACTATATGACCATACATGACCCAACCCATATGGTTAGAAATGACCAACCTATGTGACCAAGTATGGTCCAACCCATGTGGTTAGGCATTACATAACCTATATGGCTAAGTATGACCCAACCTATGTGACTAGGCCTGACCCAACCCATACAGCTAGATATAATACAACCTATATGGTCAAATGTGACCCAGCTCATATGATCAAGCGCGCTTAGCCCATGCGGTCAAGCATAACCTAGCCCATGTAGTCAAATATGACTGAATACATGTGGTTAGGCACGACCAACCCATATGACCAAGTATGGTCCAACCCATGTGGTTAGGCATTACTTAGCCTATATGCTAAGTATGACCCAACTTATGTAACTAGGCCTGACCCAACCCATGCAGCTAGGTATAATACAACCTATATGGTCAAATGTGACCCAGCTCATATGATCAAGCGCGCTTAGCCCATGC